CAAAACCCCAAAACCCCAAAACCCCAATGGCTAAGAATTTCATAATATAAATTGATTAAATTATAATGATATTTTAAGATCAAAGATCTCTTTGAGTGTTTTTGAAATTTGTGGTTAACTCAGTTCCAAAGTTGTCCTTATAAATCAAAATGCTATTATCATTCTAATTTGTAGAGATTATCTCTTCACTTAAAACATGATCATCAGAAGGAATTTCGAATTTAATCATCATTTGATAGGCTTTAACAGATTCCTCAAAGAGATTAAGCTTCTCGCAAACCTTGCCTAGATTCTCATAAGTCTTGGCTTGCTGCTTGCTTATTCCTTAAATATTTCTATCCTTGATAAAAACAAAAGCATGATCTATGCATTCCTTTGATTACAGATATTCTCTTAGTGAAAAATGACAAGAGCCGAGATTGACATAAGTAGTAAACAGTTATAAACAATAAGCATCACTAATGAGACTTAGATCCATGTTAGCTATTGATTTCATAATGATTCCTCCACTTATTATGAAATCAGCTAGATTTTAAAGATAGAGTATGGCTCGCTCAAATTCTTTCTGAATTATCAGCATTCTTGAAATAAAACACATCAACTTGATGTATATTTTCTCTCTAATTTAACTTTGATGTAATGATTTACTTTTGCCAAGCAGAAGCTTCTTGTCTAGATAAATTTCAGCTTATTTCCCATAATTTAATGCACCTAAAATATCATTTTTAAGTCTAAGGCAATACCCTATCGATATCAAATTTTCAACATATATGTTCTAATATTTAACTTTAGACTGCTGATCACTCTCTTCAAAGATGTCATTACTCTTTAAGAAGCATTTCTCAGCCTCTCTATGATTCTTGGAGAGGCAACTTTGATTACCCAACTCGTGATAATATAGAATCTAGAGGTTTTATCTTAGGTTTTTATCTCCGAGGATTATTAAATGCTGCTAGTATTCATCCAAACTTTAAAGCAGCCTATTTGAAACAGCCAATTTAAGTTATAGTGTATTATTGATGTCTGTTGCTTTTGAATTGAACAATATATTTTGATAAATATTTGCCTTGTCAAACATTATCTGAGCTTAAAGATAAGATTTTTTGGCAAGATAATAATTTCCTAAAGCCATTGATAATTTGTACTTCTGATAAACCCCTATGTCTTCTTGAAGTTGCTCGTACGCTTCAGAAATTAATTCCATTTTTTCATCAAATTTTCTAAGATGAATACATGTTTTGATAAAAATTCTGAGCATTTTAATTCTACAGTTTGACTTAGTTTTGGTTGCTAATTAATTAAGAATAAAATCATAACTCTCTTGATAAAATTCTAATCTATAATAAAGTCTTGCTAGTTAAACCTGCAAGTTTTGATTATCATATTTGCTTTGACTAATCTAGCTATATTATTAAATTTATTTCCTAAAATCTTCGATGTGCCTAATGATTTCATCCTAATCTTAAATTCTTTGGATATTGATATCCACTATTAACTTCAAAATCTTTAACTTCAAAGCTAATTAAAAATCCTTTTGTCTGTTCTAAATCTCTAAATTAAGCTACAGTTTTGCAATATTTATATCAGCTTGCTAGTCAAATCCTTATTTGATGAGAGATTTAATAATGAGTATCTTATCTGAAAATTTTTATGTCTATGTAATCACAGCTTACTCGAATTCTTGCATATAGTATAAATATTATACATTCTTTTACAAAGCCTCTGATTTACTATGATCGAAATATTTTATTTTCCTATGGATCTTTTCTCTAAATTTCTATTGGTTAGCTACTAAAGCAAATTAATCAATTATTTCTTATGCCTTATTTAAAGATCCCTTTCTTATGTAATATTCTATCCTGCAAACTAAAAATTCCTCTTTGAACTTGCCATGAACGAAAATAGAATGATTCGATTGTAAATCTAAAATCCTGATTTATATTTCATTAATTAGCTACTTGGTTTTGATAAATTCTTTCATTTTCACATATATTTTTATCAATATTAATTTTTATTGCATAATTTGATAACTATCGTCAGCATAAATGGTAATAATCTTTGATATAACTTTCATTTAACTATCTAAAGCCTTTTAGATATCTCTGTTTTTCATATAAATCAGGACCTGTAATTTATTTTTCTTTAGTCTTAACTCTAAAGATATGTCATGTTATTTTAGGTTATTAATCTCTGTAATCAAATCTTAGTAGTTTTGAGATTAATCAAACAAATTGCGATGCAATTTTACTAATAGAATTCTATACTAAAGGCTATAGGAATCAATTTACCCTATCATAGCTAAACTTTCATCAGATTAGGAATAATCTTTTAGATAGTTAAGGGCTAAACTTTTCTTTAGATAGTGAATATGATCTGATTTGTAGTAATGCTTAACTATCTCATCAACTTAAGTTACTATAGAACTATATTGATGATGCCCGCAATAATATCGGAAGGCATACTTCATATATACTTTTAACTCTTGGTCGTTCATCTTGTTAAAATACTAAAACAAAATAGTCAAATATCCTTTGATATCAATATTTCTCAAGTAATATAATCTCACTAGTATCAAAAGAAATTAGATCTCTTCCTTAATATAATTGCTATCATGCTTGCATATGATTTATTGATAATTTTCCTCTGCTATTTCTAAACACTCCTCTAGCTTTTAATTCTCTAGGTATATTTAAGATCTGCACAAATTAATTTAGAATTTAATTTTTTGATCTTATAGATTAGTAGGGATCATATCAAAATACAAAAGCTTTTAAGTCAGATCTGTACATCTATGCAATAACTTTGAAATTATTGACTCATTTTATCTTATTTTATTATCATTTGCTAGATAATTTTATACAGTATCAATATCTATATCTTTTTCAAAATTAATCAACAATTTGAGAGTTTCATCCAGGAATTCTTTATGGATATCAGGCACTTCTAATACATCTTCATCAAAGCAGTCAAATATTATCTATCTAATATGATTGTTTGACTTATTGTCACTTATTTTAATGTCACTTGCATCTCTTATTAGCAATCTAAAATCCTTGTCAAAAAATATTGAGCTCAATTCAAAATTGTTATATGTTAAATTTTTAAAAGCCATATTTTAGATTAGTTTTACGATTGAAATTAAGGCATAGAGTTTAAGGTCGAAATCAAAATCTTGATTTTTTAAATGACAAAGCACATCAAATTCTTCAAACTATTTAAATATGTAGAACGACTTTTCGTTGTTCTTGTCATCAATAATAATGAAAACCTCAGAGAAATCAATAAAATAATCCATTTTTTATTGAATATAAAATTAATCTACCATGCTTTTCAAGTCATTACATTAAATTACTCTGTATTTCTCATAGTTTTTATGGGGAATTTAATATGTGATAACTGGGTTATCTTAAATCTTTTTCAATCTATTTATCTATCTAAAAAGTTTAGAATGATTTTGTAAAACAAGCAATATTGATTACTCATCGAAATCAAAATTCTTGCTGTCTTTAACAAAGCAAAATTTCTCCATCATGGAGCTCTTTAATTCTTAATATTAGACTCCTAGTTTATGAATTAAATGTTGTGATTTCTTTGTTAGAAATATACTGTCTTTTTGAATCCAGTGTATTGAAGAATCTTTGTCAGTTTGTATTGAAATTTAATCTATTGAATCAACTTAATTGATATTTGCAGTTATTCTGCTTTTTAAGACAGGAATCTGAATTTTACTTTACTCTTATGGTTTACCTTTTACGCATTCATTGAGTTGATGTTCAATATTTGAATTAATCTATTCTATTTATCATTTAATATCATCGTAGTTTATGTTATCATTTTAGATTTGAATCTATTTAACTTTAAACTCTATTTCTTAAGTTTATTGAGATATTTTTTGCTCAACATCAGACATTTTTTATTGATATCATATACTTAATCTCTTCCTTTAGGCTTTTTATTTCTCCTTAAATTAAGTAATATTGATGTGAACTTCATTTTTGAATGCTTGCAAATCAGGAGGAGAAGGAGGAGGAATTACTGTTATTACTGTTACTTTTGAAGATTTTACACCCATTTAAGTTTTTTTTCAAATTATATTTTTTATGATACTTTTCTTAAAATATTATGAATTCAAATCACTAGGGGGTTTTGGGGTTTTGGGGTTTTGGGGTTTTGGGG